TAGAATAAAGTTACATAAACATAGAATTACACTAAAGTCATATATAGTTACTTTATGTTTATATATAATATCAACTATACATATACTTAACAGTATTATTGTCATATATATTTGTTACCTTTAAAATATATAATACATTATGTATATAGGCATACAATAAGGGAGAATATGAATTAAAGATAAAAGTTTAATTCTTTTAAAATTAAGGGACAAGATTCGCTTTACTTTTTCTTAAAGCATTTGTTGTAAACATTGAACTATGCTTTTTCATATTTTTGACATGTATCCCTTGGAAAACAAGATGTGCCGTTTGTCAGCCTTGTAACCCAACAATGTCTGACCAGGCACAGGTTGACAAGATGGTTCAGAGAGTAAACGGTGCCTGCCACCAAGCCTGACATATGAGTTCAATCTATAGGACCCACATGATGGAAGGAGAGAATTGAGACCTGCATGTTGTCATCTGACATCCATATCTACAATGAGACATGTGCATGCACAGACACACAGACATATAGACACATACAATCAATCAACAAATAAAAAATTTGGGCGTGGTGGCACATACCTTTAATCTCAGCACTCAGGAGGCAGAGGCAGGGGGATCTCTGTGAGTTCAAGGCCAGCCTGGTCTACATAGTGAGTTCCAGGACAGGGAGACCTTGTCTCAAAAAGACTAGATAAATAAACAAATAATTTTTAAAAATTTTAAAAAGAAACTAGGAGCAAAGTTTTTGAATCACAAACATTAGAGAAACAGCTCCTGTGCCTCCAAGTTCTTATGAGAAGGCCAAGAACCTAACCAGTGGACAATCTTGTCATAAAGATATGAGAAATTTGTTTTTCCTGCTAGTTAACAAGGGCTGTCTCTCTAACTACCATGGTAAAGTTAGGTTGAATTATGTAGAACAAAATGTCCAGTCTTCTTACTTGAATGTTAATTTTTTTATGCTCATAATATAAAGATAAATCAGGTCTATCTGGCTATTTGAGGTCATATTATTCCTTTCTGTCTGCAGAATTGCTTATGACACATGTCATATTAATGATTAATCAATAATAAATGTTTTCTTTCTCTACTAATTTAATGCAGAGGATTTCTGAGAAAGAAGAAAATTTTGTTTTTAATTATAATGCCCCAATAATATGCTATCTCTTGATTTTACTCCTATAATTATGATGACAAAGAACTAACTGTATTGTCATGTAGACAAGAAGAACAATATCAAATATTTGATTGCTTGGCTCACTTCCTTTGAATTATTTAAACTACACTATAAATTCTAAAAAAGGAAATGCTGTATCTATAATTGCATAAGAGATTTTTACCATGGCTTGCACATTTGTAACCCATAGTCAGTGAATTAGAACAAAGGGACTCATAGAAATGTAAACGAACATGTATCAATGGAAATTACTATATTGTTCCTGCTTCCCCAAGTATTTGGAAACATTGCTTTTGGGCTAAGTAAGGAAGACTAACCTGGACTAGGAATTTTCCATGGAGTCCCTAGCCTCTGAATTAAGTGAGTTAAAGACTTAAAATAACAAACACTATGCAAAATATTTTTGTTGCTGTTTTGAGTCGGGGTCTCACTATGTATTCCAGGCTTGCTGTTACTTTCCTGCCTCCTTCTCTTCCTGCAGAGCACTAGGATTAAAGGAACTGCACAACCATCCCAAGTTCAAAATAATTTTATTTTTCACGCTCTGTTATCAGCAATAGCGGCTTGACATCATCACATATTTTAATACTTTACCTTCACAATTTAAATTTTAGCCCACATCATACAAACAAGAATGCTCATCTGGGCATCAATATTTCAAACATTAAGAAACTATTAATAGTAATTTAATAAACTCTTATTTGCCCATTTGAAAGAGTGCTTACATTTTCTACCTTTAAACCAGGGGCTCAAGGAGATGGCTCAGAGGGTTAAGTGCTTGCTGTGTTAAGTATGAAATTCTGAATTCAGACCCCAGGATGTTGCTAAAGCAGGTTGTTTCAGTGAGCACCTGTAACCCCAGAGCTGGAGGGAAGGATGGAGATAGGCAGATTCTGAGGGTTCCATGGCCAGCAAATATAGCTGAAATGGTAAGCTATAGGTTCAATGAGAGATGCTGTCTCAAAAGATAAGGTAGGCTGGGTTGGGCCTGGTGGCACACACCTTTAATCCTATCATGCTGGAGACAGAAGCAGACAGATCTCTGAGTTGGAGGCCAGCTGGGGGTATAGGAAGACTCTGTCTCAAAGAAGTAAAAAAATAAGGTGGAGTATAAAAGAAAAAATTACCCACAGTTCACTTCTGGCTTCTGAACTCAATACACAAATCCACAGGTGAGTACATACCTCCCATATGTGTATACACCACTCACACGCATGCATGCACACAAATGCACAAAGGCAAATGTAATAAGATATTGACAACTGTGATAAATTTTGAGAAATACTCTAAACAATATTTTTCTAGAAAGTTAATAATAAAGAAACCATAACGATACAGAGTAGAAAACGTTAAAAGCAGATTTTTTATGTGAAACACAGAAACAACTTATTTTAAATAAGTAGCAATATTTACCTTGTAGCATTTTGTTCCAGCTGTTCATCAATGTCACTGAAGATCTGCTTAAACTCCAAGTCTCCAGGAAATGAGTTTAGTAGGCATTGCAGGTCAAAAGAACTATGGGAATATTCATCTAATCCATCCATTCTGTGAAATGAGAATAAAAAGATGTCCGTTTCCACAAAATGAGGAGGAAAAAGGAATCCTCACCTCAGGTGGTGATACTGCACTAAAAATACTAATTTTCACTTACAGACACAATGAAACACAGGAGGAGGAAAACTGAGGTGTTATTAAGCTAGGTAAGTGTTTTGTTACTTAAATGTCATGAAGTGTGATCTAATTCTCACAATGGTCTGTGGTTTGAAAACTGAAAAACATATCAACCCTTAGAAGGCACTTAAGTATCCTGTTGCTCCTCACTGTAACTAAGCTGCAGTAGAAACTGAAGCTCACAGAAACCACTATCAAGAGGGGGGTACAGATGAAAAGTGACATCTTCCCTCCATCCTTGTCATTACTGACCTGGAAGTTGCAACTTCACAAAAGTCCTTGGGACCTACTTTTTCTTTTTCTTTTCCTTTTTCTTCTTCTTCTTCTTTTTTTTTTTTTAGCCATAGCTAATTTGTTAAAGTTATGTAATACAAAAATGGAAGTTTATATTCTACAATATGACAATAGATGGAGTAATTTATACATAAAATATAAAATGCATGTCTTACAAATCTGCTATATATGTGAACTCATCTTTCAGCAATAGATAAACTTTAGTACAAAAGCCTTATGGGTTTAGTGCCTGAGACAATGTGCATACTCACAGACACCTGTATTGGTCCAAGGTGATTTCTGTGTGAATATGCACTTCAGCATGCATCTTAACACTTTTTTTTTTCATTTTCTTTTTTCTAACAGAGCATAGGGTAGGCGTTTATTTACAGAGGAGTGGGTGCCCCCCATTTATGGCTGCACTGGAAAGTCCACACTCACTGCATGGGAAAGGTCCTGTAACTTCCTGACAGCCACAGAAAATGGTGCTGGCATTCTCATCTTATATATCTTCAGCCCCTCCCGCACATGGAACTAAGGTCAACTGATTGGGTGGGAGGGATAACTGACTCCCCCTCGACCCTCTGATGAGTATGGGAAGGAGGTGTGACTACAGCTTGCTGGTATAGTGGTCAGAGGACACTTCCAGTTAACACACCACTCCTTCCTCCGGCTCTTACAGTCTTTCTGCCAACCTCTTCCACAAAAGTCCCTGAGCCTTGGAGGGGATGGTAGGTGTGGGATGATCCTCCTATTGTGGCAAGGCACTGAACTTTCTTGTCTCTGTATCATCAGTTTTTCAATAGGCTGTTGGCCTTCAGTGGGATTCCATCTACTATAAAAACACAAACAGCAAGAAGAAAGAACATGTAAATTGCAGCTGCTATAATAACTTAACCTATGGGCATAAACACAAACACTTGAATGGTACTTTAGCAGGTGCATCACATCCATCTAACAAAACAATTGCACCGGCTTCCCACTGGGGCCTTTATTTTCCCCTGCTACAGGGGTTTTGTCTGGTCTACAGTACCAGATGTGTGTTCCACCCCTAGGAGAGGGCATTACATTCAATAGAAAATTTGCTGGTTGTACATACACTAGACACTTCACTATTGCACCAGCAGGAACATCTTGTTTGGCATGTTGATAGTGCAATAGGTGGGGGTCCATCGTTGAGCAGAATTATATGGGACAATTCCCCCTCAGTCATCTGCATCTCACCTTTTGCCACCATGAAAGTCACTCATCCAATGGCAGGGGGTTTCCAGCTTAGTCCAAGCTTGATTTCTCCCTCTCCTGTGCTCACATCAAGCAGTGTCTTCAGCAATAGGGTCCCTCCGTCCACTTCTGGTGTACAACCAACATTATTGACAATGCTGGAGCCTATTTCTATGTGAAAAAAAGTAATTGTTCTTGAGTTCTTCTAGGACCCCATTCACAGCCATAGCATTTGTTGTTTCTTAGAAACATGCAGGTTTTCCCTACCATAGGCCCCAAAGCAACAAATTCAATGAAACCTTTAAAATTGTGAACCAAAATAACCTTTCTTTATACCTTATTTAGCCAAGCAATGATCTATTCATTCATTCTACATGTAAGTAATGTTGAATAATATAAAGTTGTAAGCTCCAATTATAACACTTCAGCCAAGAGTAATACTACAGTTGGTCCTTATGAAATATAGTGATTATCCATCTCTTAGCTCTAATCTGCTTTGTATTACTTTGGTATATGAAACTACTAACTTTAATTTAGATTGCATTTATAGCATTTAAATATGATGTGACAATTAAGATTTAGAAATATATTTTGGTATGCAATGAAGTTTGCTGGAGTTAAGTTTAATTTTGAACATCATTTTCCTAGTATTACATGAAAATACTTAATAGCCCCAATTCTAAAAATTAGGACTTATGGATTTAGCATAGTTTTGATTCTGTGGTACCACATTTTAAGACCCATGACAAATAGTTACATTTGCCAAGAGCTAGTTACTGAGCTAGAACTGGAGAGATGACAAGTAAAACAGTAAGGGGTGCAACACAAGCATTTTGTTGAGAATTTTTGCTTCTATGTTCATTAGGGATATGAGCATACTGTTTGCATTTTTTGTTGTGTCGTTTCCTGGTTTTGATTATATACTCTAATAATACTGGTGTCATAGAAGAAGCTTGTGAGTTCTCCCTCTGTTTCTATATTTTTGAATAATTTAAGTAGTGCTGGTTGTGGATCTTCTTTGAATGTCTGGTAAAATTCTGCTATGAATCCATCTGGGTCTGGGTTCTTTAGTCATAAGGCATTGCATTACTGTTTTGATTTCCTTATTTGTTATGGGTCTGTTTAAGCTGTTGGTCTCTGCTTGTTTTAACTTTGCTGGTTTCCATGAATTAGAAATTCATCCATTTCTTTTAGATTTTCAAAATTATTAGAGTAAAGGTTTTTAAAAAATATTTTATTTATTTATTTAATTTTATGTGTATGAGTGTATTGTCTGCATGTATGTGAGTGCACCTGTGCTGTGCAATGCCGGGGAGGTCAGAAGAGGGAGTCGGATTCTCCCGGAACTGGAGTTAAGGACCGTTCATAGCCGCCATGTGGGTGCTGGGAATCGAACCTGGGTCCTCTGCAAGAGCAGTCAGCTCTTAACCACTGTGCCATCTCTCCAGCCCTGAGTACAGGTTTTTAAAGTATTTCCTTGTAATGTTCTGGATTTTTTTGGTATCTGTCGCAATGTTTCCCCTTTCATCTCTGATTCTGTTAATTTGGATTTGTTCTTTCTTTTGGTTAACTGGACTAAGGATGTGCCTATCTTGTTTATCTTTTTGAAGAACTAGCTCATAGACTCATTGATTCTATGTATTGGGTTTTTTTTTGTTTGTTTCTATTTCATTAATTTCTGCTTGGATTTTTGGGTTTAGGCTTGGTCTGTTCTTGCCTTTTCAAATTTGTGAGTTGTAACATTAAGTCACTTATTTGTGCTCTTTCTGATTTTTATAATGTAGGTGCCCAGAGGTATAAACATCCCTCTTAGGGCTGCTTTTAATGTATTCCAGAGGTTTTACTGTGCTGTATTTTCATTTTAATTTAGTTCCAGGAATACTTTTCCTTCTTTATCTCTTCTTTGACCCATTCGTCATTCAGGAGTATGTTGTTTAAGATCCATGAGTTTGTGTAGTTACTAGCTTCTTCTGCTATTGATTTTAAGCTTTATTGCATTGTGGTCTGATAGAATATAAGGATTTTTTTTTCTTTTCTTTCTTTTTCTTGCATTTGTTAAGGGTTTTTTGTGCCCCAGTGTGGTCTATTTTAGAGAAACTTCTATTGGCTGAATAGAATGTGTATTCTTTTGTGCTTGGGTGGAATATTCTGTAAATACATTAGGTTCATTTCAGGTAAGATATCATTTAAATCAGACGTTTCTCTATTTATTCTTTGTCCAGTTAACCTGTCTATTGGAGATAATGGAATACTGAAATTAGGTACTATTACTGAGTAGGGGTTAGGGGTTAACCTGTGTCTTGATGTCCAAAATCCAGAGTTTGGTGCCTATATATTCATGTTTGTAATATCTTTTTCATCAATTGTTCCTTGATCAGAACGAAATGATCTTCTTTATCTCTTCTGATTAATTTTAATTTGAAGTCTATTTTGTAGGATATTAGAATTGCAGTCCCTGCTATATTCTTAGTGCCATTTTCTTGGAATATATTTTATATTTTTTCACCCTAAGGTAGTGCCCATCCTTGAAAATGAGATGAGTTTCTTGCAAACAAAAAGATGGATTTGTTTCTTAATCATTCAATTATTTTGTATCTTTTGACTGGGGAGTTGAGTTCATTGATGCTTAGGGTTATTAAAGACATATATTGTTTCCTGTTATTTTAATTTTTATTTGTGTTCTTTGTCTTATTTTGTGTTTCCGTAATTATACCTTCATGAAAGATTTTTCTTTCCTCTTCAACTACGATAAATAGTTGATAATATGATAAAATACCCAGTTTTGCTGGATAAAGTATCCTGGGTTGGCATTTATGATCATTTAGAACTTGGAATACTTTGCTCTAGGCTCTTCTGGCTTTTATAGTTTGCACTGAAAAGTCAGCTGCAATACTGATGGATTTTCCTTTATATGTAACTTGTTTTCTCTTGTAACTTTCAGTAACCTCTCTTTGTTCTGTACATTTAGTGATTTTACAATGATATGTAGATATGTCACTTATGGTGGGGCACTTCAAAGACACCTATTCTCTGTGTGAGACCAGTTTTATAGAATTCTGTTACAGTCTAAATCTGTTGCAAAAGAAGATTCTTTGATGAGTTTTGACAGGCATACTTATCTGCAAATATAAGGATTTATATTTAGCATGTAGTAGAAAAATACATTTGTCTAGGGATCTGACAGCCTTGGGGTTTTCTCTAAGATCCGTGACCTCTCTAGTCATTTGCATTTGGCTATGGTTACAGTACCACACATGAGTTCCCTTTCATGAGTCACTTTTAGTTCCAAATAGGTAGGTATTGAATACCTCCAAGATAAAACTATCACTATTGCCCAATATAGTTTGAGGTGCCAGTCAGTGTTATGGTTATTAGGCATTAAAGCTGGGGTTGAACCATTTACTGATACTCTCCCTTAGCAGCTTGCATAGTGATCTCTAAAACTATGAGAGCCAGCTTTTGGGGAGGTAACTTTCAGGTCAGTTCCAGCTCCATTGCTCCATGTTCTGTGACCAAAGTATGTCTTGTCTTCAGCAATAGAGTTTTACCTTCGAGTTCTGGGAGGCAATCAAGGGCTATGGAAACAGCCTGTGTAATTTTGGGAGTCACTTGGACTACCCTGACCAAAAACTGGAAGGGAGGTTTCTCCTATTTGGCACTGTTTCTTGTTATATAGCCTTCAGCTACACACATGGACTCATGTAGAGGTTTTATGTGTAATTTTTCAGTAAGTTTTTTAACTAATATTTTTCAGTAAGTTTTTTTTTAACTAATCAGTTTCCCTCTGATTTTTTACACCATCTAGGGATTTATCTCACCCCCCTTCTCTCTAGTCCTCCCTCTCCCCTTCCCAGTTAAAGTACACCCACTTTCCCTCTTTCAACCAAGATAATATCTGTGTCTTTTGGTCCTCCTCTCTTGAGCCCCTTCTTCCCCTTTACCCCCATAGTTCCGTGGATAACCCTCCCTCACCCCCTCCCATTTAAATACCCCCATTTTACCCATTTTCCCCTTGGTAACACCTGTCTCCTACAGTTCTTCTCTCTCGGGTTCCTTCTTTTCCATTTACCTCCATGGTTCTTTTCCATTTCCCTGGCTCCTGTAGTTATATCAGGATATACACTCACATACAAGGATTTGGTGCTAGGATCCACAAATGAGGGAGAGCATATATTATTTGTTTTTCTGAGTCTGTGTTACTTCATTTAGTATAACACTTTCTAGTTCCATCCATCTACCTGCAAATTTCATGATTTCATCTTTCTTTACCAATGAGTAGAACTCCATTGTGTAAATGTACCACATTTTCATTATACACTCATCAGCTGAGGAACAACTGAGTTGCTTCCATGTCTTAGCTATAGTGAAAAAAGCAGCAACAAACATGGTTGTACAAGTGTCTCTGCAATAGGATGACTCCTTTGGGTATATGACAAGGAATGGTAGAACCAGGTCATAAGTTAGGTTCATTTTTAGTTTATTATTTTTTTGAATACATATTAGTTTTACCTGTATTCATAAGAATCAAGTAACCACCTAGACTTAGTCACAATGCCCTCCAGAATGTATACTCTTCTAGAATATTCTACAGAATAATCAAGGTTTGCTAGATCTAATCTTTTAAGTGAAAATTCTTTGGCATTATTTCCAGAAGACTTGCATTTTAAAAAATATTTTATTTATTATTTTTATTTTATGTGTATGCATGTCTTGCCTGTGTGTAGGTAAGTGCACTCGTGTTGTACAATGCCCGCGGAGGACAGAAGAGGCTGCTGGATCCCCTGGAACTGGAGTTACGGACAGTTGTTAGCTGCCAAGTGGGTGCTGGGATTCGAACCTAGGTCTTCTGCAAGAACAACCAGTGTTTTTAACCACTGAGTTATCTCTCCAGCCCCCAAGACTTGCATTTTTAGTTTTGTTTTCTTTAAGAGTTCTCCACACTCCTTTATGTAGTGATTGCACAAGTTTTCAATCCCACCAGAAGTGAATGAGCATTCCCCTTTCCCCACATCCTCTCCAGCATTTAATGTCATTTGTTCTCTTGAGTTTAGTCAGTCTGACGGGTAAGAAGAAATCCTGAAATGGTTTTAATTTGGATTTCCCTAATTATTAATGATGTTGAATAATTTTAAAGGGGTTTCTTAGCCATCATTATTTCTTCTTTTGAGAAT